AAAAAAAAAAAAAAAAAAAAAAAAAAAAAAAAAAAAAAAAAAAAAAGAACGACAAAATCCAACAAAATAAATAAGTCCATCAATAGTAAAATAAGAAATACTAAATTTAAAGTGAAGAGTTTTGAAACTTGAACGACGCAAGTTAACAGTTAGAAGTAAAATAAGAAATACTAATTTTAAATAGTATAAAATTAACAAATAAATAAATAATAAAAAAAGGGGCTGGACTGCGGGCCAACCCGCTCCAGCCCGCTTTAGACCGCGGGCCGAACGGGCGGGCCAAATAGGCCCGCGATTGAACGGGCTGGCCAAGCAAAGGCCTAAACCCGTCTATTTAGGCGAACGGACGGGCCAGCCCGCGGGCCATGGCCCGTTTTGATAGTGCTAGATGAAATAATAAAAGCTAAGGATAGTTAAACGGAAAATGAGGTAAAAGTAAAACACAAGGCTACTACCCTATATGAATTTTTCCCTAGCTGATACTTCAAATCATGTGAGTTTCTACAACTCCATCTATAAAATTAAATATATGAAATATATTAAAATATTTATTTGTGAGTTTAATAGATTACTCCTTCTTCTACCAATTGATTTAAGAATTGAACCTCATTTGAGCTTCATTTGAATTTTTCTTGCTTATGGTGCGTTTCATCAGCATGAGACCACACTCGTTTGCCCTTCGTTTCTTACCGAATAAGTAAGTATTGCAGATATAAAATGGCAATGTGTTTGAAGAATTTTCACTTGTATATTTTGCATTTATATTTTCCCCACACTCTAATTGCAGCAGAAGTTTTTCACAAAGAAAAAGCATTTTATTTTGGGGAAATTTTAGACAAATCAAAAACAAAAAAAAAAGGAAAGAAAAAAGCAAGCTCAAGACAAACGAAAAATAAAAAACAGAATCTCAAAGGAAAAACATTTAATTTTGGCGGATTTTTAGACAAATCAAAAACAAAAAAATAAAAAATAAAAAAAAAAGAAAAAAACGAAAACTTACAAGTTCAAGACGATAATTTAAAAATAATAATAATAATAATAATAAAATAAATAAAAAATGTCAGAAGTGGGATTTGAACCCACGCCCTCTCACGAGGACCAGAACTTGAGTCTGGCGCCTTAGACCACTCGGCCATCCTGACGAGTAAGTAAGATTGTGATATTATGAATTGGGATTATAAATGATTTCTCTTTTATTTTCCGCTTGGCTAATAACAATTGGTAGATTTAATCGAAATAGTACGAATCTCGTGTAATATATGGGTAAAAGATATTCATTATGTTTATATATTAAAAATTTTTATTTAAGAATATCTATAATTAAAAAATAAGGAATCAATATGCAATACAATTTGCCTATATTAATTTATTAAAAATATTATATGAAATTTAAATTGTGTAAAATTACATACAATACGTCTTAAAATAGTGCACAACTCGTACGGTGCACGTAATTGATAATAAATTAGATTATATTCATTTAATTAATAAGTGTAATTTTAAATTTTTTATTCGGAATTTGATTTGACTACAATGATTCTATAAAATAAACTAGTAAGCATCCCGTGCGATGCACGGAGGGATTTGCACCTTAAAACTTTTTTCTAAAACTTTATTTTAATAATATATTAGCCTGTTAACTTGTTTATATTAATACAAAAATATTTTGACATATTAATACAAAAAATACAAACAAATATAATTTTATTTATCTTTTTTCATTATAATACTCAAATACTATTTTATTACAAAATTTATTGTCATATAATGTCATTATTATTTATGAAACTTATAAAAGTAGTAGTCTTATATATATTAATAAATATTTAATGTGCATTCATTTTTTAATGATGTAATTAATTTAAAAATATTTAAGTAAATTTAAAATAAATATTATGCCATATATGCATACTATTCAATTTTTATAATTTATCCTATCTCATAATAACAAAAAATAAAATCATATGTTTATATATATATTATTTTATGTAAATATTAAATATATTAATCATAAAAAAGAAAATAGTATTTAAACAATAAATGGGTGAATTATTTGATAGAATATTTATGTAGTCGTGATTTTCCGAAATTATTTATCTAACAAAAAAATTAAACGATCCACATAAATTTGGATTATTTCCAAACTATAATAAGGGGAGTAGTTAGACAAATATGGACACCCAATTGACGGTGAAATTTTTTGGAAAACTTTGAAAAATTTCGTTCATTTTATAAAAAGTGTTGTAGTTTGATAAATATCGACAACCAATTGCCGTGTGATTTTCCAAAAAGTAAACAAATTTTCACATACGGTTGTGTAGTAGGAATTTTCCAAAATAATATGTATGGAGCCTAAAAAAATGAGTAATTAGATAATTTTAGGATATAAGACTTCTAATTAGAGTATTGAATTTTATGATGAAGATATGACATCAAAATATTGCTTTTGATCTTTCTTTTTCTTAAAAAAAAAAATCAATTAACCATTTACGATTGTTAATTTACAAAATATAATAGAAAAAATCCAAAAATAATACTTGCTTTAAATAACATACTACTTGCTTTAAAACAAATGAAATAAATTTATCAACTAAAATTCAATAAAATAATACTTAATTAAAATATTTGCATCATTTAAATGGTAACAACCACTATATTTGAGCAGAATGATTTTGTGCATTAATTATATTGATTTTTTAAATTTGAATAGGCCGTCATTTTTTAAAAATATTTTAAAAAATTACTAATAGAAATAAAAACGAATTTTTTTTGCGGGATTTTAATTATTTTTTCTGGTAAATATCAAACCTTTATATATATAGATAAATGATATGATCATGTGTAAAATAACTAAATACTAGTTCTACCAGTACCAGTGCCACTTGGTGAAGTCTCCAGTGACGATTTTTTATGATATTATCGGAGTAACATTTTCCTACAAAATAAAATATAAAAATAGTAGAAAATACAAAAATTGTGAAAATATCACAAAAATACAAAAGCTAGAAAAATCAACCTAATATTGGACTAAGAAATCTGTAAAATAAGCTCAAATGAGATCAAAAGAATAGATATATACTATCAAAACACTTAAAATAACAAAAGAAAATATATATAAAAAAACAATAGATAGTTAAGACGAAGATATTATACTAACCGAAAGATAAGATAATTCATTATCTTATTGCACCTATTTTTTCATCCTCGCATATATATGATGTAACAATTTAGATAGGCCAGGGTCGTGCTTTAGCATTTTTGCATTTACTTTTTATCTACACATACAAATGTAGTCTTGAGATAATGACATGATTGTGCATTAGAACATGGCTAATGCTAATCATCAGTGGCGGAGCCACACCTTGTGGCTGGGGTCAGCTGACCCCTATAGATTTCAAAATTTTTAGTATAAAATACTGTTCAAACACTGTTTACTAGGTTAATGACTCCGCTAAAAAATATTGCCGACCCCGGTGAAATTTGAGGCTGGCTTCGCCCCTGCTAATCATGGATATTTAGATATTAGAAATTTACACACACAGATGATAAACATGATACCGATGATACCAATGAATATTCAAAGTGAAGTTCATAATATTATATAATCAGCAAAACGCGAATACTTGCGTGAGCCAGTGACGAAACCAGATCCCGTTTCGAGGATAGCTCAATTTGCCTTTAAAAAAAAAAATTCACGACAAAACCAAACACAAACACAAATTTTCTTTGATCTAGCTTCCCCTCCACGGCTCCATGCCTCCCTGCTCAGCTGCTCTGTGTTTTCGGATTTCGGATTTCTGGTGGCGGCCCTCCGGCCATCCCGCGACGCACCACCCCCACTCCGGCATCGGAAGGGCGCTCAAAGAGCGTCCTTTTAGTTCCAGCAAAACCTCCCACCCTTAGTTCATTTTTTTTTTTTTTTTTTGGGGAAGGGTCGATGCCTCCCGAAGGACCATGTGGTTTCGCCCCTGGCGTGAGGCAATATAATCGTTAGACAGAGGATCCGTTATATCAGTAATGCTATGGAGCCAATGGTTGGCTCCCTTATGGAGCCAACCACCAATCAAACATGTCCACATGGGGATGTCCCACATTAAAGTAATGTGGGACATCCCCATGTGGACATGTTTAATTGGTGGTTGGCTCTCTTATGGAACCAACCATTGGCTCCATAGCATTATTGTCCGTTATATTATGTGAGTTGGTTAAATGCATATATTATACTGTCAATTTCATGCTTTTTGTATATTTAGTTACACTATCAAAATAATAGGTCGGCCTATTAGACTTGCTTAACAAGAGACATACCAAACATATCGACCAACTAAGTGTATGCTTGTTTACCAAATAATATACTCACATTTACTCAAAATATAACTCAACTTCAACTCAACTCCACTATCTTAAATATTATTCATATAATTAAGGAGTTTTATCAATACAAGACACGAAAGATTGGTGAACTATCAATGCAGGGTCTGAAAGATTTTTTTTTCTCAATTCGGGACTTAAAAGTTATAAAACTATCAAATTAAAGACCCGAAAGATGGATAAACTACGGGGCCTGAAATATTTTTTTCTCAATTCGGGACTTAAATATTATAAAACTATCAAATTAAGTATATGATTAACAAAACTCATAACACCGCTAAATTTAGAGTTTTTTTTTTAAAAAAAAAAAATTGGTGTTTACTCACATAAAATAATATTTTATAAGTAAAAATTTGCATAATAAAAAAAAATGGAAGATAGCAAGAAAACCGAACAAGAGCTTCATACTTAATTTTCTCCAACAATCTCGTACTTATATATACAGGACTTCTTTCTCACTCTTTGTTGTCTTCTATATATATTTCATCATCATCATCATCTTATATTCTAACATAAATTCTCTCAACTTACTCCATAAGTCCCACTGCCTCAATTTCATCACCATTCATAATTTTATCAAATTCTCAATAAGTTTTCTTTTTATGTTTCAACAAAACTTGTCCAAATGCTCTCAGCCTATTCTTCTTCTTCTTCTTCCCATACTCTTTACACCACCTTCATTTTCCTTCTCCTTGCCAATGGTACAATTCTTTAAATTGTTACATATTTATTTTACACACATTGCTAAAATTAATAAGTAATAATAAAAAAAAAAAATCATCAATCAAAATTTGGTCAATGAATTCTTCATTTTAAATTAAATACTTTTAAAATTAGTCAATATTTTTTTATTTTCTTTGCAGATACTTTTGCAACCACGTTTACACTAGTGAACAAGTGCGAGTACACAATCTGGCCCGGAATCCTATCCAACTCCGGCGTCTCGAGCCTCGGCACCACGGGCTTCGAGCTCGGCCCGCACGACTCCAGATCCTTCCAGGCCCAACCGGGCTGGTCTGGGCGGTTTTGGGCTCGGACAGGCTGCTCGTTCGACACCTCCACCGGGCAGGGCCAGTGCCTGACTGGCGACTGCGGGTCGGGCCAGGTCGAGTGCGGCGGATCGGGAGCGGCTCCGCCCGCCACCCTGGCAGAGTTCACGGTGGGCTCCGGCGGGCCGGACTTCTACGACGTGAGCCTGGTCGACGGGTACAATCTGCCGGTGGTGGTGGAGCCGGCGGGTGGGTCGGGCCAGTGCGGGCTGACCGGGTGCGCCGCGGATTTGGGCCGGTCCTGCCCGGAGGAGCTGCGGGCGGGCGGCGGGCGGGGATGCCGGAGCGCGTGCGAGGCGTTTGGGTCGCCGGAGTACTGCTGCCGGGGGGAGTACGGGTCGCCGGAGACGTGCCGGCCGACGGCGTACTCGGAGGCGTTCAAGAGCGCCTGCCCGAGGGCGTACAGCTACGCGTATGATGACGCGTCGAGTACTTTCACGTGTAGTGGGGCGGACTATACCATTGTGTTCTGCCCCTCGCGCACTAGGTAAATTTTTAGGTGTATATGTATAATAGTAATAGTAATAACTAATAACCTCCTTTTTTTTTCATTTTATTTTATTTCAAAAGGTAATTTATTAGTTGATTAATTGAGCGGAAGAAAATGTGATGTTTTCTTTATTTTTTATTTATTTATTTTTTATTTTTTGCATGCATCATGCATGTAGGGCAAAGTAAAATCGAATCGCATCGACGGAAAATCAGCATGTACGTACTGCGATTCGTTTGGTTTTTCGTGATTTAGTTTCGATACGGTTTCATTTAAAAAAAAAACTATATTTATTGTGGTTGGATTTTTTAACCAAGTGCGTTCGTATTGAATCGTGTTGTGATTTTTATTAATTTACTATTTTATTATATGGCATTTTTTAATTGGTTTTTTGAATGATTGTTTCATTGGAAAAAAGAGAGAGAGAGGGAGAGCATAAAAAAATAAAATAAAATCCAAATCAAGACTGAATATTTTTTCAATTTAGTTTTATGTCTTGAATTTTCTCTTCATTGTGATTGGTTTACTCTCTAATTCATCGAGAGTTTTAACTTTTTTAATTTTAATTTTTATGGTTTGATTTGTTTTTACACCGAACAATATCGTTTGCTCCCTCTAAATGCATGTAATTGTTACGTTTGTGTAATGTTCATTTTGTTTACTTGTTTTTGTCCAATTTATTTTGTGACAAAAGTTTAATTAAAAAAAAAAACAGAGCAAATTAATTTGGCTAATTATTTTAACTCTTCATTACATGGAAATTCTACGGTCCCGTGACGGAACAATTCCTTCGGGTTTCTAACCATTAGAGCAACTATCCACGACGGCGATGATTTAACGGTTACAAATCCCGACCGAATGGTTCCATAACATAATTGTAGCATTTTTCTTTCATCATAATTTATAGTCAATGCACTTTATCACACGTTGGATAATACTTACTTCGTTAATTATAATAGTATCAAGAATCTTGTAGTGACTTTGCTTTCTGTTTTATCATGTTTTCTTTTTCTTTGGCCCCCTTTTTACTCTCTTTAGTCTTTTGCCGCCCTTTATTTTTTTTATCTTTTTCTTGTTTTTTATTCATGAGGACGTGTATTTGATATTATATTACTCATTCTCTATATTTTTTTTTTTCCCTTTTTTCCCTCTTTTATTGCAAAATAATTTGTTAATATAATTTAAATTACACCTTAAATAAAATCAAATATGTAATACACTACACACAAAATAATCCAATTCACTTATCTTACAAAATAGAAAATAAAAAAAGCGTCCAATTATTAACATAATTAATATTATCTTGTGCAGCTTGAAATCTTCAAGAGACTCTTTATCGTCCCAAAGTCGGCAGGAGGCCGCCAGTGGCACGGTGGACAACTCAAATTCTCCGGCGGAAGATGATTTTCTGTCGTGGCTACCAGATTTTGGCTCGGGATCCTCATCAAAATCAAATTATTTCATAACTTTTGGGTCGATAATTTTTCTTTTATTTTTATTTCTTTAATTATAGAGAGAAAAGCCACTGAAAAAAGAAAATGGCCAAATTAATTAATTTATTCACGTACATTGCTAGCTAGTGATTTTATTAATCTCATTTGTTAGCAAGCACGACTGGTGGTTGATGGAAATTGATGTAATTTTATTTTTATTTTTCAAGGTCATGTGTATAGGATATATATATATCATGTAACATAATTTGTTTACATTATATTGCTTTTGATGAATGAATATTTGGATTTATTTATATTCTTTCCTTCTTTACGGTCGTGAATTGGCAGAACTCAGATAAATAAATCATTACTTAGAGGAAAATTTTGAGGAATGTATTTGGCTTTGTTTAATGACTTGCAATTAATATATGAAGACTGGGACTGGGAGTGGACTGAGTTTCAAGACCTCCTCCCCACATCCGTTCTTCTCAAGATTGCTGCTACGCTTCCCCTATGGTGACGGCGGGGAAGGACCATCTCCGATGGGGTCCCTCTGCTGATGGACGTTTCACCACCAAGTCCGCTTATGAATCGCTTAGGCCCGCGGTATATAGCCCAGCTCTGCCACTGTGGAAGCTTATCTAGAGAGTGAAAGTGCCACAACGGGTCCGCCATTTCTTATGGCTTGCGTGCAATGAGCGTCTGCTAACGAACATGGACCGTGTCCGGCGACACTTTTCCACCTCCGACCGCTGTGACGTCTGTGGCGAGAGTGAGTCCGTCCTCCATGTGCTCCGCGACTGCCCTCCCCTTCGCGAGTTGTGGCGGCGACTCCTCCCGGCGACGCAATCTACAGATTTCTTTTCGCAGCCCGTCCAGCGGTGGGTCATGCGCAACCTCACTACGCCGCGGCTGGGGGGTTTTACAAATTGGAGCGGGTTATTCTCGGTGGTGGCCTGGTGTGCTTGGCGTTGGCGCAACGACCGCATCTTCAATGGTCGTACCCTTGGCTGTGAAGCGCGGCGTGTGGAGGTCCTGTCCAGACTGGAGTCCTACACCCAGGCTGCCTCTGCTTTTGTTCAAGCCGGGTCGGATCAGCCTCAGTTCGAGTCTCGCCTCATCGGCTGGGCCCCGCCGAGTCATGGTTGGGTCAACATTAATACTAACGGCGCTTTCGATAAGGTTTCAGGGCTTAGTAGTGCGGGCGGGATTATTAGGGATGAGATGGGGCGATGGGTGTCGGGCTTCCTAATGCACATAGGATACTGCACTATTACCGGGGCGGAATTATGAGGCGTGTTTCAAGGGCTGCAACTTGCATGGAGTATGGGATTTCGGAAGGTTATGGTCGAGGTCGATAGCTAGTGCGTATTTCAAATGATAAATGGGCCCGACAACAATTTTGGGTCCATCAGGCCTTAGTCTTGGCCACTCGACAGTTGGCCCAGAGGGACTGGCTGATTCAAATTCGACATGTCCACCGCGAGACGAACTTTGCGGCCGATCATCTGGCAAGCTTAGCTGCATCACGGCCGATTGGTCTTCATGTGTTAGCTTCTCCTCCTCCGAGTTTGGGCGATTGGCTTATGCATGATGTTATTGGGGTTTCTTATCCCCGCAGTATCGTAGCTACCGTATAGGCTTTAAGCCTCCTTTTTTGTACCAAAAAAAAAAATATATGAAGACTGCAGGCCAAAGAAGGTTTTTCAATTACAAATGCACCCCCTTTTGTAACATACAAAAAATGGTTTTTTCTTCTAAGAATATATATATATATATATATATATATATATAAGGATGATCCAATGAGTCCACTCCTTAAAATGAGTCCACTTCTTAAAATGAGTCCATTCCTTAAAATATATATTAATTAAATAATAAAATAATTATTAGTTGACTCCGGCGTTGACCGTTGACTTCCGGCGAAAAATCGTTGACTTTCGCCGTTGACCGTTGACTCCGACGTTGACCACTGACTTCCGGCGTTGACCTGTTGACCCCTAGTATGCATTATATGTATGAAGTAAATATGCATCCAGTATCATGCATTCAATATGAACTAAATATGCATGGGATATGAACTGCACATGCAGTTCTTATGAACTAAATATGCACCAATAATATCAACTAAGTATGCACCTGTTATGAACTAAATATGCATCTGTTGTGAACTAAATATGCATCATGAATGAACTAAATATGTAGTGAAAAATATGCAATAAAATGTGCATTTCATATAGGTAATTTATGATGCATATTTAGTTAATTTTCTATGAATATTTAGGTAATTTATGATGCATATTTAGTTAATACGAAATTCATATTTGTTATATTTAAATTAAATATATAATAATAAATATATAATTAATTATTATGCATATTTACTTAATTCATGATACATATTTTAGTTCTTACGAAATGCATATTTAGTTCATGAACAGTGCATACCTATTTTATTTGAGATCCAATCATAACAATTTATTTGTGTTATTAATCAATTTAAAATTAAAATTAATTATATAAAAAAAATTATTTGTGTTATTAACTAAATATGCATCTGTTATGAACTAAATATGCATCATGAATGAACTAAATATGCAGCGAAAAAATATGCAATAAAATGTACATTTTATATAGTTAATTTATGATGCATATTTAGTTAATTTATTGTGAATATTTAGGTAATTTCTGATGCATGTTTAGTTAATACAAAATGCATACTTGTTATATTTAAATTAAATATATAATGTGTTGTGTATATTTTTAACCGGAGTAGAATCCAAAGATTCGACACCGGGTCGTATCACGAGGAAGGTTAGCCGGATTATTCTATGCGAATATTCAATCACACGAATATGATAAAAGAAACAAATCCTAAACACTCTAATTCAAGTTGGAGATTTGATTTATCAACTACGAAAATTGAAGCAAGAGACACGGAATTTCAAACAATCGATTAACTTGGTTATAAGGGAGTTAGGGAGTCGGGGACAATCGTTTTCGGTTCTTGACTCAATTACCGGGCAATCAATTGCTCGGTTAAGGGAATTGAATCGCCTACTCGTATAGAGGTTCACCTTCAATAACTCTTCGTAACAAGAAGGTGGACATACACGAGTAACTCATCAAGCCCTACAACACATAGACAATACAATAACGAACAAGTCTATTCCAAACGAGCCTAAGTCGACCGACGCCTCCCCTTTCGGTTCTAACGTCAATTGATTAGGTTAGATTGGTGATCAATCAACTAACCCTAGAATATGCACAACTCGCAAGGATTGAACAATTATCAAACACGTAATTGAAAACGAACCGAAACAATCGTCCCCTATCCCTAACTTATGGAATTAGCCACTCATCTCAACATCAACACAAGCATTCATCATAAAAGAAGCCATCACATTCATGAACAAGATGAAAAGAAAAGCTTACGATTAATACCAAATCCAAAGTCGATGAATCAACGAGCTATCCAAATCCAAAGCTAGAAACTAAGTTTAAATCCTCAAAAATCCAAACCAAGATGAAGAATAGAGAGAGATAATGTTCTAGGGTGCAAAGATGGATGAAAAACGAAGTCTGGATGGCCTCCCATATGCCCTAGGCTCGATTATTTACTTCCCAATTCGAAAATCCAAGAAATCCGCGGCTGTTACAAAATGGGGCATAGCGGCGCTATGGTCATAGCGCCGCTATGGGTGAAGTCGCTTGTCCTGCAGCCCATCGCTAAGCTTGCAGCGCCGCTTTCATGGTTGGCCATAGCGGCGCTATGGCCATAGCGGCGGTTTGTCCTTGGCAGCTTCCAAATGTCCGAGTTCTGAAATCGTGAGCTCTCGTCTAGCATTGCTCGGGTACTGCCCGAGCTATAAATTCAGTCTCCGCATGCTTAAGTCGTACCGCACATCGCTTTCAACATCTGCAACCTGAAAACCACCACAACCGAACAAACACGAAAAAGAAGAGAAAAATAGGGGAAAAACCAAGATAATACTAAACACCACGAAAAAGACTAGAAACTCGAGAATGACTAAAAAGGACTGGAAATTCCTAACAAAAGACCTACAACGGGGGAAATCAACACACAAAATAGCAACGAAAATAGCAACAAAAGCGGGACAAACATAATGATATTTATATAGTTAATTTATGATGCATATTATTTAGTTTATTCATGATACATATTTAGTTCTTACGAAATGCATATTTAGTTCATGAACAGTGCATACATATTTTATTTTGAGATCCAATCATAACAATGTATTTTGTGTTATTAATCAATTTAAAATTAAAATTAATTATATAATAAAAAATTATTAATTATTATATTTAATTTAATTGTATAAAATGTATATTTTATTGCATATTTTCGTTGCATATTTAGTTCATTCCTGATGCATATTTAGTTAGTAAAATGTGCATATTTAGTACATAAACAGTGCATACATAGTTGATATTATTGTTGCATATTTAGTTCATAAGGATGACATATATAACTCATTTCTTATGCATATTTAGTTCATACTAAGTGCATAGTACTGTATGTATATTTACTTCATACAAAATGTAGACTAGGGGTCAACGGTCAAAGCCGGAAGTCAACGGTCAACGCCAAAGTCAACGCCGGAAGTCAACGGTCAACGCCGGAAGTCAACGATTTTTTGCCGGAAGTCAACGATCAACGCCAGAAGTCAACGGTCAACGCCGAAGTCAATGGTCAATTGTCAAAATAATATTTAAATAATTAAAATAATAAAAATAAAGAATTAAGTAATAAAAATAAAGAATTATTATTTAAATGAAGAGTTAAATCTTGGCCACACATAATGTACCAATCTAGTGGCTAGGAATGAGTCTCACATTCACACTTTAAATATGTGTACTCATTGGATCCAATCCCTATATATATACTAATACAACTCCTGTGTATTACACGGATGCTTGCTAATTTTTTTTCTTAAAATCTAAAATTACTGAAAACAGGTAGTCGAAAATTTAAATATATTTTAAAAATATTTATATTAAGTATGACACTTTTTTATTTGTGCAACTTGTATTATATTATAATAATTTT